AGGGAGACGCCCCGGCCGTACTGACGCTCTTGAATCGCGCGCAGGATCTGCCCCGGACCCCGACCCTCTCCGACTATCGTGTCTTGTACAAGACGGCCATCGCCGCCGTCGGGAAACAGGGTCGGTGGGAGGGCGCCCTCTCTCTCTACTACGAGATGCACGAGCGTGGGGTGGCGGCAGACGCCCAAGTCTTCACCAGCCTCTTGAAGGCCCTGAAGACGGGCGGGAAGGCCGATTCCGCCTTTTCATTCCTCGAGGCCATGAAGGCGCAAAACATCACCCCTACCCGCACTGTCTACAACGTGCTCTTCTCCCTCCTGGGGGAGATGGGCCAATTCGAGGAAGCGGTGCAGCTCTTTGAGAAGATGAAGAAGGAGCTGGGGAAGCAAGGCTCTCCGTACGACTACGGGACATTGATTAGCGCCTGTGGGAAAACAGCAGTGCTCCGACTGCGGGAAGAGCGCCCGCGGGCGGCGCTCAAGGGGTGGGATGGGCTGGAGGCTTCGGTCCCGCGAGAGCATGGGGAGGAGGCAGTGGATCTCTTAGTCAGACGTGCAGAGTCGATGTTGCAGGAAATTTTGGACCAAATTCGTCCACCTGCTGCATTCTCCTCGAGAAGTGTAGATGGTGGGGCTCCTCCGCGTGAACTGGACCCAAAGGCATCTTTCCCCGCGTCCGCATACCCGGTGGAGACGCAGGATGGCGCCTCGGTAATCGGGTCTTCGGCTTCCTCCCCGCCATACCCATTCGATCGGGCGGACAATCATGGGTGTGCGACGGGGAGGAGTTTGGGCATTCATAGCAGCAGCAGCCGCCGCCGTCGGACACACGACGGCGGCTTGGGCAACGTTTTTACCCAACTTCTTAAGGTATACGGAAAAACTGGGCGCTGGCAGGAAGCCAGGAATCTTCTGGAACGAATGCGTGGAGAGGGGTGGATGGAACCCACCCCCGGTCATTATTACGAGGCCATGCGGGCTTGTGCCTTCGCCCTCCGTCCGGACGACGCCTTGGGACTGCTCCGAGAGGCGAGGGGCCAACGGGGGCAGGAGCCCGGGAATCCCTCGAAGCCACCGCTTATTCTGTGCTGGAACGCGGCCATACTCGCCTGTCAACGGGCGGGGCGTTGGATGTCTTGCCTGGAGCTTTTGAAGACCATGGAAGGGACGGGTCTATGCCCCGGTCCCAGTAACTATGCACGGGCCATTCAGGCCTGTGGAGAAGCGGGCAAGGTGGAGGAGGCCTGGAAAGTCTACGAGGAGGTGGGCCAAGCTGCTGGTGGGGGGAAAGGCAGCCGGGAGCCGGTGGTGTATGGAAGCATGCTCCGGCTCTGTGGGTTGCACAGGGACGCGCCAGGCGTGCGGAGGGTGTGGACCGACCTCCTGGAGGCCCCGGGCCTTGGAGCCGATCCTTTGAACGTCGCGCAGGCCGTGGCGGCGTGGGCGTGGGAGATTGGGGACCTTGACGCGGGCAGGGCTGTCTTGCTAGGCCCTGGTGGAAAGGAGCGGGACGAGGCAAAAAGGAGCCCGGCCTCGGCAGACTCCGCTCCCGTGGCACCCCCCCCCTTGCCCTTCCCTCCCCCCCTCCTAGGATTCCATGCGCTCATGCTGGCGACGCTGAGACATGGTGGCTCGGCGGAGGAAGCACAAGTCGCCTGCCAAGAGCTTGTGGATATCATGATGGAGAGATTCAGCCTTTGTCCTACCAGCACTACGAAGGCGATCTTGGTACGTGCAGGCTGTGACGTATCAGACTTATTTGTGGAAGAGGACGAAACGCAGGACTGGGAGGAGGCGGAAGCGCGGGTGCAAGGACTCGTCGCAATGAACCCCTATGACCCGCGTAGACGCAAGAGGGTGAGCGAGGGGGAAAGCAGATAGCAAAGCGCTGCTTTTGACCTAGAAGTGTCGTGGGATGAAGGGAAGGGATTGACTGATGTGATCGCCAGCATTTATCCTCAGTGAGGATATTAACTGTGGTGTTAGCACGTGATGTATTTCAACAATAATGCAAGTAAATAGCCGAACTGGGCCGAAGAAACTATCGCAAATGTTGTGTGTAGCAGGTATGTCTTTCTTCAAAATTTCTTTTAAGTTGTCGCTAGCGGGCTGAACGGCTCGACTAGTCGTATAAATTTGACTGCAATCCGAACCAGACGGTCCTCGCTACGTGGTTAGGTCGCGGGAAAGTTTTTCGTGCAATTGGACCTCGCTGATATGCCTTGAAATCGTGGAATGACACATTTTGGACGCGTGCCTTCGACTACGTCGAGACAAAGACATATGCAAGCAACGGCCACATGTTAGAGCTACGCTCTTTTTCGCAAAATTATTCCAGAAATCACACGAAAATGGCAGGATTTTTTTCGGACGAACTACTCGAGTCAAGGAGCAACTTGTTACTCTAAAATGACAATAAATGGTGGTAAGTGGCACATGTAGCCCTTGGCGTGGCTCGACTTTCGGACTGCTTTCTCAAATTAGCTTCCTCATACAGATATGAATAGTTTGCACGAATATTGTGTGCCTGAGGCTGCTCACAATGTAGCACAAGTTGGGCAAGTCTAGAGGCTAAGAATGGGCCGTCGCAGAGTCGTTCTTGAAGCATGCTCCGTGCTTCAAGTCCGTCGAAACCCAAGAAAATCAATGACCTCGGCACCAAGATTCTCAGACGCCTGACGTTTATGTGTGCAACACGGCACAATTGGACACTGGAACCTCGGGGTGCAAGCGTTTGGGGTCGTGAAAGCAGGCCTAGTCAAGCTTGAGGCATGCTCCTGCTTCAATGTCCGTCACGTTCAAGAAAATGCATGTTCATTGCACAGCTTGTCTGGCATCCAAAAATGTGCTTTTCCACGACAATATTCGTAACCAACGCAAAAAATTAAATCTTGGTACAGTTAAGAACCTTTATTGATCAGAAATTCTCGTTTGTATGTCTCAAAACGCGGAACTTTACCTTTACCCCTCGGGAGCGTCAAGCAACAAGATACGATCATACGTGTGGGGCGGCTCCAAGAAATTGACCCAGATTTACTTGATGTGCTTATCACTTAAACACCCTTATTGCTTGTCACACATACTTTAGAAATATTGTCAAGACAGAAGCGTGGTGACGCTGGCGAAGTTCTGGTCCCAAGTCTCTTGAATTTTACTTGTCGTCCAGGGTGTACCTCCCTGCACTATCTTTTTGATCCGATTCTTGGTCTTTTCTAACATGGCACCTGCTGGAAGTGAGGGATGCAAGGAGGAAGATTTTGTCCTTTTGGATAAATCGGAAGCAGTCTCCGCGCAATTGCAAGATGATTCCCTTGCCCGTGGGGGGTCTGCCCGAGTGGTCGAATATGAATTGGCCTCATTCCGGCGCACCCTCTCCTCCATCACCGACGACGCTTCCTACGCGCGACGGGGGAACGAGGACTTTGAAACCGAAGGAAATGAGAAAGATACCGACGACCTGTCCCTGGAGGACATGCCCGAGGATTTGCGTGGCTTGTGCCGCCGTCTGCGGGCACAAAGCCGTGCCCTGGACGCGGAGGAGCGAAGGGAGACGGGCACCGTCCTTGGGGAAGGGGGATCCGGGCTCAAGGATAATGAAGGCGTGGGAGACTGGGGACAGGGAGAAAGCCGTCGGCGTCGTCAGCAGGTGCGCCGGCGCCACCCGCAGGCGGAAGCATGTCTTTTCGAGGCCTTGTGGCGCTTCTCCTGGCCTTTGGGGACCCGGGACATCCTCATTGGGGCCCTTTTGGTCGTGTTTATGACCACACTCATTTCTTTGAGTGGGGGCCGACACACGCGGGCAGTGCCCTTGGCTGCGAACAGGCGGGGAAGCGAGGGGGAACGAAGCGCCCCTCCCTTGTACGTTTTTGACGACGTGGCCTCGGCTGTGGCCACCGCCGCCGCCTTTCCAGGCCATTGTGCATCCTGGGCCTTCCCGTCTGCCCGCTCCCATGCCCACGAGAAAGCGTCCTCCCCGCCGCTCCCTGTGAAGATATCCCTGCTGGAAGGGAGAGTGCGGGCGTTGGTGTCGATGGTGGGGGACTTGGAGAAGGAGGTGGCGTGGCGGAAAGCCCTGCAAGAAGGGCTGGAGCGGGAGGTGGAGGGGTGGGAGAAAAAGGCGCGAAACTTGGAGGCGGAGCTGCGCGTGGCCCGGGAGAGCATGG